TTCTGTACTTTTTATTTTTATTCCCCCAAAACCCCAAAACCCCAAGTGTCATGAGAATTGCTCTTTTTAGAAATTGAAAAAATATGATAACAAGATAAGTTAAGAAATTAAAATCACAAGTTATATGAGGTCTCATTTTAGGGCTAATATGAGTTAGTGATATCTTATGCTTGGTCCTATGCAAAATAATCCTAGATAAGCGTATTTTCCTTTTAATAAATCTATTGGCTTGAATCTGAATCATCTTGATTGCCAGAAACCATTTCAGAATTCTGATAAGACCATTACACAGATGCCCTGTCATTGTTTACTCTACATTGATAAGTTCTAAAATTGATATTTTCATGTTTGATTTTATTGATAGATTCTTCTTCTAGATCTGAGCTTATTTCATCGCTGATTTCATTAGCCATCCCACCTTCATCATTTGAAGCAAGATTTTGGCTTTATTTACTCTAGTTTGTGTGGGTATTGTAAGTAAAATTGATATCCTCAAACTGAGTCTCAACTTAGTTGGGGTTGCTCATCCCCTCAGTTGACTCAATGAGATTTTTACAATCAATTTATTAAGCATAAAACTTATTCTAGCCTCTTTTGTTCTCTGGGATGTTAATCTACAAACTCTTGAAAGGATTTCTATTTATTTTCATCTGATAAGCTTAACTTTAAGTTTTTTCCTATAGACTGAATGTCTGATAAGAAACGGCAGCTTCATGAGGAGCTAGACTTTTATTCGGCTCGTTTGAGGGAGACTCTATTGACAATTAGCTTAGCAGTGGATTTTATGTTAAAATTGAAGTGTTTCCATTATTGGTTATAAAAGTCTAGCCAGTTTAGCCATTCAGTCTCGGACTCTAAACATTCTTGAAGTCTTTTCTTATCGATATTTAATTTTCATTGGTGGCAAGCTTAGATCCCAAAGATTTCTTGGCCTTGTTGATTCCTTGACTTTTTCTCTTTTTATTGCTTTATTGAGCTTACTGAGATGTGTGATGAAGACTCAATCTGCTTAGAATTTGCTATGTCTTTTGTAATTTACCTGTGGCATAATTTTAGGACTGGTTTTAATCATTTACCTTCTTCTCACTTAAAAATGAATTTAAATTGGGACTTTTATTGAATTTATTTTTAACCTTCGTAGATTTTTTAAGGTTTGAAGAGGAAATACCCAGTGTTATCATTGAGTGTTGAGGCTAATTAATTTCCCTAGAAGTTTTAATCATCATTTTCTTATAGATTGTTGATTTTTATGTGCTCTTAATGACTGATTAAGAATTCTTTGAGATATAAGAAGTATCTCTGTCTTTTTAATTCAAATACCTGCTTAGGTTTTAACTGCTCTATTAATTCTAGACTTTATTAGGATTCGATTACTTTTAACTAGCTTGAGTAAACTAAATACTTGTGAGGCTTTGCTTTATGTTGAAGGGTTAGATTGGATTCTTAGGAATACTAGATTCTAGTCTATCTCTTTTATCATCACTTAATAAATGCATAAGAGTCTCCTCTGGACTCATAATTTTTGTTGTGCTCAATTGATTCTTGTTGGTCTTAGCTGAGGTCTAATCTTTAGATGTATAAATTGGATGATGAATAAAGCTTTTTCTGTTAAATGATTGCCTATTTGAGAACATTTTAGATGTCTGCTTGGATAAATTTGTTACACTGTTGTAAATATTGCTGACTGGAGATACTGATCTAGGCTTATTATTTTCATTTATCAACTTAACAATCTCATTTTGCTCTTTTTCATAGTTGAAATTAGGCAACATATGAATTGGATCTTGATCTATAAGACTATGAATGCCTCGATAGTTTTCAGGTTCAAAATACCCTCTGATACGCTAATATAGCTTGGCTAGTTTTTTCGTGTTGCTGAGGAAAGTTAATTGTTCTTCATCTGCTAAAAATATTATCTTCCTCTAATGAGAAAGGTATTCTTCCTAGTATATGGTGTTGGCATCTATATCACTATCAATGTCTGTTAGCTAGTTCTCAAGAATGCTCAATTTATCACTCAACTGAATTTGCAGTTTTCTTTATTGATTATCTAATTTCTTCCTTATCTGGTCAAAGAAGTTTTTTATGTTTATGCTGATCAAGTCATAGTGGCTCTTTATTTGTCTCTGGATTATGCTTACCCTTTACCTGTCCTATTATACTATTGGCTATAACTCATTTTGAATCTGCTCAGCCTGCTATTCCATAAGTATTAGCTAATGAGATACACCCTACTCAATTGAAACTAGAGTGTGACTATGATGATTGTTCTATAAATTTCTCTGATTCTAGTATTTTTCATTATTGTCTGATCTTAAGTTAGTGTTGATAATGCAGTCAATACATAAGAGCATTTAGTCTTCTAGGCAATATGCCTCTAATTTTTTATTATGATTTTAGCATAGCTCCTCCTCAGATTATTTTGATTAAGGGAAAAATTTAATGTAATTAGACTGGGTGTTGCTATCAATGCTTTTAATCATATCCATTCACAGTAAAGCAACGTTTACAGGGAGCTACTTAACATTTGATGAATAGCTAGTCATCTACTCACAGTCAAAGCATTTAATTCTCAGAGTTTTTTATGATGATTTTTAAGAGTTTTCTTGGATACAATTTGTGCAAAAAGTATGACCGCATTTCAAAAGAATTCTAGGAATCATCTTGAAGGTGTTTTGATAATGGGTTTAGCAATTGTTACAATACATTTTATTTGGGATATATTAAAACTAAAATGTGATTGTTAGATTTTAAATTAAAACATATATTGAAAATTCCTATAAAATGGAACTTTGGGGTTTTGGGGTTTTGGGGTTTTGGGGAG